CGAAAAATGGACCGTCTTCCAAGTTCAGCAGTTGCACCCCTCGAAGTGTGTGTGTGTGTGTTGTGCACTATAGACTCCAGTCTTCTAACTGTTGCCTTCTGAGCAGTCATTTCCTTTTCATAGAGTCTGTCTCGAAGCTTGGCAGTGTCACAAACTCATACAATATAACACACGTTGTATGTTTGCACTCGTGCGCAGCAGCCAATCACGTTATGGAATGCTCCATGTTTCCCGTGCCTTGACCAATTTCGTTGTTCCGCAGACCTTCTCGGCCAAAGACAATTTGCCAACGGTCCAGCTACTGGCGCAGCGCACTCCCGCGTTTGTATATGTGCCCCGGTGGGGAAGAGCATGTCGCTGGCAGAATCACCGTGCGCAAAGAGAGCCAGAGTGCAGCAGTTGCAGCTGCTGTTGCAAGAAAACAGGCGTGAGCTGGCGCAGTGCCGGCAGCATGTGGCGAGGTGGGCGGCCAAACGTGGTAATTTAGGCTTGACTTCAGCAGGACAAAAGGCAGTACTTGCTTGCTATTGCTTGTCAAACTACAACAGCGCCATTGCCACCAAGCTTGCGCAGCAACTCAGCGACTTGGAGAGATCTTCCCCCCCAGTTTCCGTCAGAACCATTGGTCCAATCTCTGTTTCGAGAGACAAACCTTGGAGAGCTCCTGCGGCTGCACAGCGACGATGATGATTGGACAAAAGCCAGAAATGTGGCCGTTCGCTTTGTGGCAGAGGTGAAGACGGTGGACTATGTCCACTCGCAAAACAGTCTCCATGGTGTCGCGCCAACTTCGGCTGAGGTTTTTGCGCATTTTGCGCAGACACGCTCGGGCGGTTTACCGGAGGTACTCACAAGCCGCGACTATATCAAGAAGTGGGCTGCTGGTTGGCGAAAACGCTTTGGCATCCGAAGGGCGGCCTTGCCCATGGCCATTCCAGCAGATGCACCGAGCTTGCGGGCAAAGGTGCTTCGAGTGGTGTCAGTATAGGTGGTCAAACCGGTCAAACCAAGGGGCCAAAAATGGGACCGAAAAATGGACCTGAAACAAGGTCCGCCTTGTGAAAAATTGTTTTCGGTTGCGAGGCAGCTTTGGGGACAGTTTTTGGCCCCGGATTCTTTTTTGAGGGTGTGCTTTGAATTAGAATGAATGGCTCGGAGGTGAAATGCTTCTGGAAGATGCTGGCGTTTCAGCGTGGTCCAGAGGCTTGTGATGGTCGTGAGATTTTGTATCTCAATGTGGATGAAACAAGTGTGCCCTACACTGCACGACCCGCTATTGGTTGTGTGATCAACCGCAAGCAGTACAAGGGCTCCGGCCTCCCAGCCGTGCCCCACGCCAAAATCCAGCCTGCCGGCAGGCGAGGTACTTTTACGTACTGCGCTGTTATTGCTTCAAATACAGGAATTCAACCAGCGCTACCCCACTTTCTTGTGAGCAATGGCACCAGGCTGAGCAGCAAGGTAGTGAAGGCCTTCAAGTGCTTGCCGAAGACCCAATTGCAAGTGCTTCGCCGGAAGAGTGCGTGGGTTACCAGTGATTTGATGATCGCAATCTTGCAAGAAGTGGCAAAAGCATTAGAACCGTTTTTGCATCAATTTAGGCCGGTATTGCTCTTGGACGGGGCGCCAGCTCACGTTTCAGAGGCAGTCATGCGTGCTGCAAGAAAGTTGAACATTTCGCTGGTATATATTCCATGTGGAGCAACTAGCCTGCGCCAGCCTTTGGACGTCTATGCGTTCTCCAGCTTCAAGCAATACCTCCGCCAGAAATACCACGAGCACAGGCAGACAGCCACTGATGGCTTGCCATCGACTTTAGCGTGGCTGTGGCAATTAGGCCAGGCGCCAAGGCAATTTTTTTGTTCCAAGTCTTGGGCCAAATGTTTCCGCGGAGTTGGGGCCAGTGGCAAAGCCAGCGACCTCCACTCTGTACTTGCCTCTTTCATGGAGCACCCTACATGTCTCCCTGCTTCATCCAAGCCAACGTCAGAGGACGTTCGGCTGATATGGCCGCAGAACCGTCGCATGAAATACGCATATGCGTGTTTGTATGATGGTGAAGACTGAGGAAGCACCATGCAAAAAAGTGCCCGTGCAGTCAATTCTTCTAGGGCCCAATGAAGGGAAGTGGAACTCCTACCTCTAAAACGTCC